ATATATATATATATATATATATATATATATAGGCCCTATTATATAATAGGGCCCAGTATTTGGTATATGTCCTTAGTGTCCACTGGAGCATGAGTTTGTTTCAGGTGTCTTGGTAGTCGTAGCTCCTGAAGGTCATCAACTGTTCAATGGCCTGTAGGTGAGATCTAGGTCCTTACGTTTCCAGGCAAATACCATCTGGGAACAGAATAGACTCAGAGAAGCAAAGGTACAGAGCTAGATCATACCCATTCCCTCTCAGGGATCAGGTACCCTCTATGGTGCCAAAATTGGAAGCAAAATTGGATGTTTTTCAGCAGGTGAAGGGATGAATAAACTGTGGTACCTCCATACAATGGAGTATTATTCAGCAGTTAAATGGTCTATCAAGCTACAAAGACCCGAAGGAACATTAAGTGCATATTGCTACATGAAAGAAGCATCTGAAAGGGCTACACATGGTATAATTCAAACTATATGACATTCTGGAGAAGGCCAAACTATAGAAATAATTAAAAGGTCAGTCCTTGCCAGAGGTTTAGGGGGCGTGGTTGAGGTGGAGCACAGGGCATTTTTGGGCAGTGAAACTCATCTTATGATAGTGTAATGGTAGATACTTGATGTTATGTACAATACAAAGAATGAACTGTACTGGAAACTATGGACTTTAGGAATAATGTATCGATATTGATTGGTTCATCAACTGGAACTAATATACCACACAAATGCAAGATGTTAGTGTAACAGCACTCCAGCAGGTCTTAAGGATTAACTTGCTTCAGGTTAACTCTCCTTACTTGCTGACCTAAATTCCTTGATCTTCAACAGAACTAATTTTCTTTGAGATTTGCAGACCACTGTCCTTGAGGAATGAAGAACCAGAACTTTTCCCAGGCCCCAAAAAACCAGCAAGTCTGTCTGAGGCTGACTCAGCTTTAGGATTAGCTCGGCAATTTTTTTAGTAAAATGTTTTTCTTTTTTTGGTCACACAAATGATTTTACTGACTTCCCTTTGTGTATCCATAGACATTGCCTTCCTTTGCAGAAAGAACAGAGTACTCCTGCACATAATAAAACAAGAACCAGACTCCCTCACGCAACCCCCAAGTACTAGGATAACTTTTGTAGCTGACATCATGGAATCTGCACATAATCAAGAAATGTTGCAGGCCGCTACACTCTCTTTGCTGATTAACTACCCTAAACCCCTTTAAAAACCCCTGAGCCAGGCAGAAACCTCAGAGTACCTTTTCCCGAGGTTGCTGGCCTCCTGAATCTTTTATTCCCAAATTCCTTTCCAATCAAAAACTCATCTCTTTTTCTTTCTTTCTTTCTTTCTTTTCTTTTAGAGGGAGAGAGCACACAAGCAGGGGAGAGGGGCAGAGGGATTGAGAGAGAGAGAATCTTAAGCAGGCTCCAAGCTGGATGTGGAACCCAAATGTGGGGCTCGATCCCACGATCCTGGGATCATGACCTGAGCCAAAATCAAGAGTTGGGCTCAACTGACTGAGCCACCCTGGTGCCCCCAAAACTTGTCTTTTGAGTAATGGCCTTTCTAGGAACTGGCAGCCAAACTTGGGTTCCATAACATTAATAATAAGGAAACTGTAGGAGGGATGAGGGTGTGGAGGAAGCAGGCATATTAGAACTCTGTACTTCCTGTGCAGTTTTTCTACAAGCCTAAAAGTGCTCTAAAAATAAAATGTATTAAGTGAAAAAGAAAAAAAAAAACCTATTGCAGTAAGGGAGGGTGATTACTGCAATGGAAGAGGGTGATGATGGCAATAGGGAGGCAGCTTTGAAGATCTGCAAATGTCTGAAAGAGTAGTCACAAATTTGTGTGTAAGTACAGAAATCTCACACACACACACACACACACACACATATATACGTGTGTGTGTGTGTGTGTGTGTGTGTGTGTGTATTTACAAATAGGAAAGAGTTCATAGAGTAGGCAGTTAGAGCTGGAGACAAAGGTGGGGATAAATAGATGACACATTAGAAGACTGAGGGCACAACATCCTGACTTGTGGCTTTTAACATCCTGGCTTTAGGGATTCTAACACCCCAGGACTGAAGAACCAAGAGTCACCCTCAACCTCTGCCCCAGGGTAACCTATGGTTTCATTATCATATATTTACATTGTGGTTTCAACCCACCCCTACCCAAATGGGGGAAGATGGCCAGGATAGTTCCTGCAAGAACCTTGTAGGGCCCAAAACTCTGCCTCCCAACTGGCAGGAGTCCCTTAGACGAATAGAAACAACTTCTGTCAGAGACTGCCCTAACTATGACCCATAACCTCTGCAAACACAAAAAGAAAAGATACCCTTAATCCCCCTGGGGTTGCCACTTTCGGGGGCTGCCCAGTCTCCTCCCTTTTTGAGAGTGTACTGTCCTTAAACTGCTTTGGGTTTGCTACTTTTCTGTCTTCATTGGAGTGCTGATCCTCAGGTAAATCTTTCCTGGGTAATCCAAGAACCCACATCTCCATTCACACAATGCAGACTCCCACTGGTAGCAGAGAAATGAAAACTAAAGAGGGAAACTCATTCTTTTAATGGAGGTGTAAACAAGGCTAGAAAGAACTGGATGTCAGGAGCAGGGAGTAGGTGGCAAGATCAGGAAACAACTTTCCTTATTGTCAGCCAAGTTTTGAGAGGGATTGTTTGGCATTCCTATACTTGTTAAACCTTAGTAGGAAGTCAAATTTCAGGATGATGTGGGGGAGAATAGAAATTTAGTTAAGTTAAATTTACAGGTATTTTGTTCTGATTAGTCATTGAGACAAATTGTTCAGCTGATCATTTATGAGACACAGAATGCGAATTTTAGGTTGTGTGTCTGCTTTTGTAGCAGGTAAACGGGTCTATGGCGAGTTTTATTTAAGTAATATGGGAAAAGGTGGTTCTTTGCAGTTTAATAAAAGACTACAAAAGAAATTGAAATAGACATGTATGTTACTCAAGGCCCTGGACCCAAGTGGGAAGGTCAAGACAGGCTGCAGAGAGAGAGAGAGGGAGGCATCACCTGAGGCACAAGCTTTTATTGTGTTCTTTGAATAAAATGTCTTGGGACTCCCGGAGTAAAGCTGGATTCAAACCAAAAAGAGCAGGGGGCAAGGGGGGAGTTTGGTAAACACCCTCAAAAGTGCGGGAGCAAAGACTTATGGGAAATGTAGTTTTCACTCTGGTGTTGGCTTTCCGGGCTGACTCTGCGCGTGCTCACTGCCTCCGGGTCTGTAAATCTTTCCCCCAGGGTACACCTTCTCCTGGGTGGCGCTTCTCGGATCACCGAGTCTTTGCGCTCCCTAGGGTCCAGTGCGACAGGACAGGGGAGTTTGGGGTTGGCCGAAGGCAGACGAGCGTCCGCAGTGCTCGGGAGCCGGCGGGTCTGGGGTTGTGGGGGGACCCCGCGGCGGGACCTCTGGCACTTGACCCCCCAAGGGCGGGCTGGGGCAGCCTCATCCTGGAGGAGGGACGACCGGGCCAGGGCTCCTCTCTCAGCGGAAAGGGCCGGCTTCGCGCGGGGACGCGGGGACGCGGGGACGCGGGGACGCGGGGACGCGGGGACGCGGGGACGCGGGGACGCGGGGACGCGGGGACGCGGGGGCGCGCGTCCTGGGAGGTTGCAGGGTCCGTGCGCAAAGGCGGCTGCTGCAGCCGCCTGCGGAGCTCCGTTACTGAGCAATCCTGGCAAAGACGTTCAGTTTTATCTTCTGCAGAAGGAGAATGTTTTTATACCTGACCCATGCGATTGTTCTGCGCTGCTAATGTCTATGCTAGATATACGTAGATTTTTGCCATCAAAGGCTCTCACGGCCATATTTGAGGTAAGCTTAACTGTCTCCATGTTAAGAGAATAGTAAACCAGGCTCAGAGGTGAAGTGCCAAGACCACACAGCAGCGGTGGGAATCTAGTTTTCAATCCATTTTTCTGCACGTCTCATGTTCCTTCTAATAAACTGCCTTGCCTAAAACCCAGCATTGTTATTCACAGCACTAATAATGTCTGATACTGTAGTATCAGGAAAATAATTATGAGGTATATGGGGACTGCAGAATGTCTTGGCCTTGGGTTTCTGGGATATTTGATTATTCTTCTCATTCTTCTGAGCGCTTGTGTCAGGTAGCACAATTTCTGGGTCCGGTCTGCCCTGTCTAGCTTTTGTCTTTGGAGAACTTCATTTGAGTTTGTTGATGGCCAAAGCTCTTGATTCTTGGGGAAAGTATGTATTAGAGTCAGGTTGGGAGCCCTGTTTGAAAGTTCCAACTAAATTTAATTTGTCCCCACTGCCCAGGTCCCATCTCTTTTGGAGCAAAACAGCTCTTGTAGTTTTTTAAATTTTTAAGAAATGTTTATTTATTTTTGAGAGAGAGAAAGTGAGCACACCACGGGGTGGGCAGAGAGAGAGGGAGAGAATCCAAAGCAGGCTCCACACTGACAACAGTGAGCCCCATGTGGGGCTCAAACCCACAAACGTGGAGGCTTAACCAACAGAGCCACCCAGGGGCTCCTGGAGCAAAACAGCTCTTGAGGTGAGATGTGGGAAACAAAGGTAGAAGGAAATGGCAGATAAAATTGAATTTCCTTATAACCTGCAGCCCACTGACAAATACTTGAGGCTGGCAGAGTAAAATGTTTCTCCAGGAACTTCCTACTGTCTTCTTTAGCATATGAAAATCTCATTGGAAACTTCCCCTTGATTTTACCTCCCCTAACTCCCAAGTATGTAACCAATGTCTCTTTATGGTCCCAGGATAGCTCTTTCTGCCAATGGGTCCTATCTCCATGCTTTAATAAAATCACCTTTTTGCACCAAAGATGTCTTCAAGAATTCTTTCTTGGCTGTCAACTCTGGATCATCCCCAAAACCTTATCACCCAGGAACCCCACCTGGAAAATCACCCCTTGATCTGAGACCTCTCACCAGAGGCTCAAAACAGAAACAGAAGAGGCCCAGGAAAGATTATATCCTCAGACTGCCAGGACAGAAGTAATTCTTGGTCCTTCTACAGAATGAGCGATGCTTGGGTGATGTCACCATAACCAGAAATCATTGCAGGCTGTCCACTGATCAGCTTTAAGAATTGAAATAAAGCTGGCAACATGAGCAAAGGGTAGGCAGCACAGCAGAGGGTACCTCACAGGAAGTTTGTGAGGACACAGTTCAGGGAAAGGAATCACCAGCCACAGGAGAAATTGACCTTGTTCACCCTCATCAGCCATACTCCCTTCACTGCACTTGCTCTACAACCTAGAGGGTGCATCATTCTCTTCTGATAGTAAAAAATCAAATAACTAATGTATAAAGAGTTTGAAGATTTTAAAATTTTGTCTGTATTTAAGAGGTGAAAAAAAAAGGGCCTAGAAGATAAGGGAGTGACTTGTCTAGAGTAACATAATTTATTAGTGGCATGCCCGGGGAACTCCTTGCTGTCTATCCTTAACAATGATGTCACATCAAATTTTTTTTTAATGTTTATTTTTGAGAGAGAGAGACAAAGAGACAGAGCACAAGTGAGGGAAGGGCAGAGAGAGAGAGAGAGAGAGAGGGACAGAATCCAAAGCAGGCTCCAGGCTCCGAACTTAGCACAGATCCCAACGCAGGGCTTGAACCCCCCCATGACGAAATCATGTACCTGAGCCCAAGTTGGATGCTTTACCCACTGAGCCACCCAGGTGCCCCTCAAATTTCCAATGAAAAGATCCTTTTGAGAAACCATAACCAAGTTAGAATAAACAAAGTACCCCTGCACTTTCCAGGGGGATGCTGATGAGGATTTTGAAACTCAAGGGCCAGACACTTTCCCTAGGAATGCAGAGAAATAAAGGCAATGTCTTCCTGTGTTGTTCTTTGTTTGATTAGTCCTTGGTTGTTACTATTTATTTATTTTAGTCACTGTAGAGGGGAAGGTAAATTCTTTTTAGCAGGAAGTTAGTAGGAAATGTTTATATTCACCTAATGAAAAATCGCATTCTGAGCTGTGACAGGTCAGAGTCTGCATAGACAATGGGTACTCCTCCATCAGCTCTGCCCTGCCCTTAGGGTTGAAGCGCATGGATGGCCCACGGGGACTTTGGATGTAGCTGCTGTGTGAAGCTTGCTAGGCAGATAATTCTGCTCGGCTCACCTGGTTGCATAGGACCTCATTTTCTTTCCTTCTTTCCCAGCTGTACCTTTACAGTTCTCTTCAGTTTTCCAAGAGCAGCAGGAAATGACTGAATCACAGGTAAGCTGTTTATTCCTGCTTTGTTTTGCAGTGGATTTTGTGAGGTGTGTAAGGAACAGAAATTAAAATAGAAAAACAGAAATAGATGAAAATCAACATCAGATTAACAGTAGACTATCAGGTCAAGAGTTGAGCAGTCAGCATATACATATACGCTGGTCCTGTAAAGTCCCAGAATTATCAAAGTCGAACAGCAAGTTTGCCGTTCCGGTCTTTCTGACAGCAAAGGAGAACCAGAAAAACGAGTCTCTTAGGGCACTAACACACTGGCACTGCGGTAAGAAATTATCAGAGGCTGGTGGTTCAGCAACAAGCACTTATTTCTCGTATTCTGGAGTCTGGGAAGTCCAAGATCAAGGTGCCAACACATTTGATTCTTTAGTGAGGACCCTCATCCAGTTTGCCCATGGCCCTCTTCTCATTGTATCTTCCCATGGTGGAGAGAGAATAGAGGGCCAGCTCTCTCGTGTAGTTTCTTCTAAGGGCACTAATGCCATCAGGGCTCCATACTAATGACCCACTTACCTCCAAAAGGTCCCATCACCAACTAAAATCACACTGGGGATTAGGGCTTCAACATGTGAAGTTCGGTGGGGGGACACAAGCATTCCGTTCATAACAGAGTTGAGAACACAATTTTCTAATGGTCTTGTTTGGTCCAGCGGTGTAGAATATCTGGAAGACAGCTGAATGGTTGACATGCCCTTTAAATGGCTCTGCATAAATATTTCCCCCACCTAGACTGTAGCACTGTAGTATTTGTGACTGTACTTAACCGCTACTTACTTGCCTGTTCCTGGCATTGTCAGACTTTAGATTTATTGTCAATCTAACTTCTGAGAAAAACTCACCATTTTATTTGCATTTCTGAGATTGCTGATGATCTTGTATATCATATATCTATTGGCTTTTCTTTGCTTTTGTGAATGATTTCATTTTTAATCATCTCATGTATTAATTTTAAAGAATACTTTATGTATTTTGGACAATAATTCTTTGTCTGTTACATTTGTTGTGAATGTTTTCTCCAAGTCTGTCCCTTGACCTTTACCTCTAGAGTGCCTCTGGCCTTATTAGAGTTTTATATTTTTCCATAGGCCAGTCTTTTTAACTTTTCTGTTTTCTTTTAGAATTTTAAAATTCTTCCCTAACTTAAGATAAGGATATTTTAAAATTTTTGCTTAATTAATGTTAGTACTATTAAAAATATTTAAGCCTCGAGTCAATCTGGAAATTGTTATTGTAGATAATACGAGGAGGGAATCTAGTTTTATCTTTTAACACATAAAGCACCAATTCTTTATTAATGTTTTTCTCAATCAATTATAATGGCACATCTATCCAGTATATTACCGTGTCTGCACACATCTGTTGCTGGACATTCTAATTCATTGCATTAGTCCTTAATTCATTCTTCTTTAGGTTCATCATGTTCTTTCTTACACCTTTTTCAGTCTTGCTTCATGAAACCTGGCATCCTTACCTTGTGCCTGATTTTTCAAAGATAACTCAAGAAGTGTTAGCCAACGCTGGAATAGTCTTTGTGGGTTTTCGGTACACACCAATTATCCCATTAAAGAAGTTTCTTCCTACAGCCTAAGTTTTGAATGTCCATGATACTTAGTGGTTTTTCTATATGCCTTAAGAATAGATTTGATTACTCTTTAGATTGAACTTCTTGGTTCCATTTTGGACACGTTTAAAAATTTTTTTATTTATTTTGAGAGCGAGAGAAAGCGTGAACAGGGGAGGGGCAGAAAGAGAAGGACAGAGAGAATCCTAAGCAGGCTCCACGCTGTCAGTGTGGAGTTGGGCGCGGGGCTCGATCTCACAAAGTGTGAGATCATGACCTGAGCCAAAATCAAGAGTTGGACACTTAACTGAATGAGCCACTTAGGCGCCCCTTAATTAGTTTAATTTTTATCATTCTGAGAGTTCTTTATATACTGGATATAGACTGTTGTCAGATATATAATTTACAAATATTTTCTCCCACTCTTTGGATTGTCTTTTCACCTTCTTGGTAATGTTTTTTGAGGCATAAAATTTAATGATTTTGTTGATGTCCAATTTATCTTTTCTTTAGTTGCTCGTGCTTTGTCGTATCTATGAAACCATTGCCTAATCCAAAATCTTAAAGATTTAACCATGTGTTTTCTTCAAAGTAACAATTTTTGTCTTTTTTTTTTTTTTTAATTTTTTTTCAACGTTTATTTATTTTTGGGACAGAGAGAGACAGAGCATGAACGGGCGAGGGGCAGAGAGAGAGGGAGACACAGAATCGGAAACAGGCTCCAGGCTCTGAGCCATCAGCCCAGAGCCCGACGCGGGGCTCGAACTCACGGACCGTGAGATCGTGACCTGGTTGAAGTCGGATGCTCAACCGACTGCGCCACCCAGGCGCCCCACAATTTTTGTCTTAAACTCTCTTTTACCTGATATTAATATAGCCTTCCCAGCTGTCTTTTGGTGAGTGTGTTGAGCAGAATGCCTCTCGCAAGTTGCCAATGCCAACACTGACCATGATGGAGAGAGCAAACATCATCATTATGCCAGTGTACAGGAATAAAAATTTAAACACTCCTGCCACTGCATCTTGGTTTCAGAGTTACCAAGGAAGACACAATGGAGTCAAGCATCGGATGGAACAGTGCTTTTATACACTTAAGAGGTAAAGCAAGATCAGTTCTGATAATATGCGATTGGACCCCCAAGGCTAGTGGGTGCCCCCAGCATCTGATGCAAGGCAGTTGGCCTATGCACACACCTCTTAATGCCACAGCAGGAGTCCAACCCTACTACTATCGAATCCAGAATACTGAAAGCTGAGGTTGTGCCAGAGGGGCATTTAGTATATGCTTAATCAGAACAGAGGAGCAATTAAATAAAAGATATTCTGACAAGGTGAATGGCTTATATAGGCTGTGTGGTCTCTTTATCTCTTGGTAAGGAAGGTTCCAGACCCAAGGCTCATTCATATGTAGCTGAGTGGGGGTTGAAAGACCATACACGTGAGACTGTCTTTCTCATCATGGTGTATCTTTGTCCATCGTTTTTTCTGTTTATGTCTTTGGATCTCAAGTGAGTCTCTTTCAGACACTATTTATTAGTGAGTCTCTTTCAGACACTATTTATCACGTTTTTGTTTTGTTTTTTTTATCCAGTATTGTATCCACTATGCCCTTTAATTAGAGTGTTTAAGCAATTTACATTTAGTGTAATTCCTTATAGAGCAGGATTAGGTCTGTTGTTTTCTTATTTGTGGTCTACAGCTTTTTTGTTCCTCTATTCCTCCATTACTGCCTTCTTTTCTGTTCAATAGATATCTTTTAGTGTACCATTTTAATTCCCTTGTCATTTCTTTTGCTATGTTTAGTCATTTTCTTGATGGTTGCCCTGGGATTTACAATTAACATCTTAGTTTTTAACAATCAGGTTTGGATTGGCTTGCACAGAAGTGCCATGGCTGGGTGGGAGTCCCTGAATGGGTGTGTTGTGGTCAGTGTAGTCACCAGTATGCCATTGTTGCTGCTGTCTGTGGCAGTGGTGTGCTCGAGCAACCAGAACCGGAGCATGGAGATGCATGACATTCTCAGCAAACGGAGATTCAGTTTCTGGTCCTTTGGAACAGGAACTCATGTTAAGCTCCCAGGACCGGCACTTGACAAGCCAAAAGTTTACAATTTCAAAACTACATATGACCAGATGTACCACAATCTCCTTAGGAAGGACAAAGAACTCTGTATGCAGAATGGCATTTTACATCTGTTGGATAGAAATAAGAGGATCAAGCCCTGGCCAGAAAGGTTTCAGAGCTGCAGAGACTGTTTGATCTGATTCTCACCTGTGAAGAGAGAGTGTACAATCAGGTGGTGGAAGATCTGAATTCCAAAGAGCAAGACACCTGCCAGCCAGTGCATGTAACCAATGTGGACATCCAGGACAACCATAAAGAGGCCACCCTGGACGCATTCCTTATCTGTGAGCTGTGCCATTGCATTCAGCACACGGAGGATATAGAGAATGGGACTGATGAGCTGCTGTAGGAGTTGGAGGAGAAGAGCAGCAGAGCCTTACTGCACACGGTCTGCTCCTACTGACTAGCCTGGCCGCTCTCCTGAAGACATCTTTTTGAGCTTCCTTTTGTTAATACTTTTTCCTTTCTGATATTTGGTTTTACTTGTATCTATTCTGCTGGTGGTGGGTAGTAATACCCAGTTAACTGTACGTGTGAAATGAAAGGCACACATAAACGCCAGATTAAAAACAATCGAGTTTTTTCTATTCCTCTTCTACTTGTGAGTGGAGAATTGACTATAAGGTTTTTTTCTTTAACCAGGAAAGTAAACAATGATTTACAGTACATTTCACCTATTAAAAAAATCAAATTTGGATTAATATCAACTTAATTTCAATAGCATATAAACACTTAATATGCTATATAGCTCTATTCCTATATAGCTCTATTCATCCCTTTACCCCTCCTTTGTGCTTTTATTGTCCTGTAGATCTTCACGTATTGTGTGCCATCAACACAGATTTATATTTTTTTTCTTTGCAAAGTGTCTTTTAAATCAGGTAGGAGACACAAAGAATTACAGAATACATTCATTTATGCTCTTTTTTACTCACATAGTATTACCTTTACCAGTGCTCTTCGTTTCTTCATGTGGATTTGTGATGCTGTCTAATGTCCTTTTATTTCAGCCTGAAGAACTCCTTTTAGTACTTTTTGTGAGGCAGAGATGGTGGCAATGAATTCTCTCAGTTTTTGTTTATCCGGATATTTTTAAAATTTCTCCTCCATTTTTCTTTCTTTCTTTCTTTCTTTCTTTCTTTCTTTCTTTCTTTCTTTCTTT